GCTTTGCGAAAATGCCCGCCACGAAGGGGTGCTGGGGTTGGAGCATGGGAGGTAAGCGGGGCCAGCACCACCCATGGGCCCCACCACCCCAGGCGGGTGGCGATGGGTGCTACTCACCTGCAGGAGCTGGCTGGCCGACCACCGCGCCTCGGGGCTCTTCTCCAAGGATCTCCTCAGGAAGTCCTTGAAGTCTTCAGACCTGTGGGATGGTCCCCGTGAGCACAGGGCAGAAGCTCCCTGTCACCCCCACTGTGGGCCCCACAGAGCTTGGGGTGATGCTAGGGACATCTAAGCTCTGCTAGCACCTTGGCAGGAGGTCCCCACCCCACTGCTGTCACCTCCTGCGAGCAAAAGCGGTGTGATGGGAAACCCGTGGTGCCACCTCTGGAGCTGGGCTTGGAGGAATCAACCAGCATCACTTACGATCCAAGAGCCCATCCCAGCTGCCTGGACGTGGCTTCGAGCAGGAGCTGCCCCACGGGACCACCTCTCCCACTATCACCAGTGTTGGAGTGACACCTCTGCACGGGGACTCACCACCTCTTGGGGTGACGCAGGGTGGGCGGCTGGGACTTGGCGATCTTCAGCAGCACCCGGAGGGGGTTCAGCTCATGGTAGGGGGGCTCCATCTCGGCCATCTCGATCAGCGTGATGCCCAGTGACCAGATGTCAGCCTTGTAGCCATAGGGGCTCTCCTTGGACGTCTCACACTGCACCACCTCCGGGGCCATCCTGCACGTGGGAGAGAAGGGAAGAGGTCCAGCAGCTGGTATCTCCCCCTGAAACCAAACCCAGGTGCCACCCCCTCCGGAGACAACCCTACAGGCAGAAGTGAGATTCAACCCCAACTCCTCCAACGCGCTCCCAGGAGGGCTTGCACCCACCAGCACCCCACATGTCCTCTCCATACATAGCCTCATGCTGCCAAGAAGCCCACTCTGGAGCCGGCGTTGGCTGGAGGAGGAACGATCTGGTTTCTTGAGGTGCTCCTGGTGTCGAGGAGCTGGTTACAAGCACCCAGGACACCCAGCCCACCTGCCTGCGTTCCCAAATCCCACCATCCCCAAGGATTTCTGCCCCACACCCACCAGTACGGGGTGCCGATGAAGGACACTCGGCGCTGGACGGTGCTGGAGTTTTTGGCCGAGACACCAAAATCAGCTGCAGAGCAGAAAACGGCGGTTGGAGAAGATCCTTGGGGCAAAGCATCTCCCAGGGGTTCACTCCCGGCCTCCCTCCGCCCTGCGGGGCCCCGCCCCCCCCGGGGCTCACCCAGCTTGACGTCCCCATCGAGGGTGAGCAGGACGTTGCCAGCCTTCACGTCCCGGTGGATGATCTTGCAGCCGTGCAGGTACTGCAGTGCCAGCAGCAGCTGCTTGCAAGCCGCTCGGATCTGCTCCTCCGTCAACCCCTTCTCCAGCTCTGCCGGCACCGCAAACGAACCCCGCTGCTAACGATGCCTCCTGCCTAGCACCCCCAAAAAGCCAGGGGGTACCTGGGGGAAGGTGCACCCCAACCCATCCTCCCTCCTGGAGATGCAGCGCAAGCCCAGAACGCCCTTCCACGACGTGAAATTTGGGGAACCCAACCCAAACCCTCTGATGGCCAGCTGGAAAAACATTTATTTACCCAAAATCACCGCATCCACGGCCCCTCCAGGACAAAACTCCACCAGGATCTGCAGGGAGACATTGCCCACCCTGGTCTGCAAACATGTCCCCTCCAGACCGAGTCCCCCAGCCCTGAGATGCCACTGGGACCCCAGTTCGTGCCCGGGGTGGGGGGACCAGCACCCTCCGCAGCTCACCCAGAGCCGCCCGTCCCAGTAGAGCGCGTCCAGCAGCTTGGTGATGTTGGGGTGGTCGCAGCAAGCCAAGATCTCGATCTCCACCACGTAGTCCTCCAGCTCCTCCTCGCTCGGGGTCTCGATCACCTTGGCGGCCGCCAAAGCCCCCGTCACCTTGTTCTGCGCCTGGGGGGGGAGAGGTTTCACGGGAGCTCGCGGGGGGACGAAAGCAGCAGCCCCGGGCTTTTCGGCGAGGGGGGAGCTTTGGCCTGTTGAAC